TCTCAAATGGTCACACCAGCTATGGACAAGCCTAAGATACTCCAAAATAGTGGCCGAAACACACTAAAACTTATGCAAAAAAAGCAAGAAATGCATACTCATTCATTTGCTCGCAAGCAAGGCACAAAGTTTAACTTTCAAATACATTGAAAGAGTGATATATATGAGAGCATGACAAAGGTACAAGCACTGAAATCATATGCCAAATGATGACATATCATGCAAACCACACAAGTATAGCATGTTAGGGTCCTTAGAACTCAAAGCTAGTCAATGGCTTCACATAAGAGGTATGCAATACATAGCCTAAACAAACAAACCAGCTCTAGACAAAGCCTAATCATGCCAAAACAAAGGTTAAAACATGCTGAAATGGTAGCCCAAAAGCTTAGACAAGCATGCATACATATTGGCTCATGATCAAGGCATAAAGCACAACTCTCAGAAGCATTGAAAGAGTGGAGTATGTGAGAGTGTGACCATGCTATATGCACTGAAATCATGTGAGAAATGAAGCCAAGGCATGTAAATAACACAAGTAAAGCATGCTACGGACTTTGGAACTCAAAACTAGTCAAGGCCCTTTACACTACAACCATACAAGGCAAGTCACACATGGCCAAAAACATTCAAAACACAGCTAAGGCATGCTAAAATAATGGCAAAAACATGCTGAGATGGAGCTAACATAAGCTAGAATGAGAGGCATAAAGCATGATGCATGTTAAGCCAACAAGTAGGTTTGCACTACAAGTGTAAGATGCAAGAAACCAATGACCAAACCAACCAAAAAGAGAGTCATGGCAGGTCCAAAAATTCACAAAAACATGCTTGGACTAAGCTTCAAAAAGGGAGAAATACATGCTCATGTATTAGGCTACCAAAACAAACAAACAAGAACACAAGGAGAGGGGATCACCCCCTCTTATTTTGGGCCACAAGAACTTTTTACCACTGAGATTCCTCTGAGTTTCAGTGGTTAAAGGCCAAGCAAGGGGTGATTCAAAAGCTTAGAGAGGTGGCTCCAGAGGCTTAACAAGCCAAAGAGCAAAAGAGAGGAACCACCCCCCTAACCACACAAGGCTCAAACCAATATTTTAAAGCCTTAAAAACAGAGTTATTAGGAGGCTAAAACCAGCCTTAAAGTAGCATGCAAAGGTGGTCAAGCTCTTGATCAAAACAAAGCTTAAAAGGGACAAGTGTCTTACCCTTGAAGAACAACAATAAGACAGCAACTTCAGCAACAATTCTGAGCCAAAACCAAGTCTAAGACCTCAAAACAAGCTCCAAGGGACCTCAGCTCCAAAGTGAAGGTGTTTGAGTAGGTGTTTATGTGCAAAAGTGTGAAGAAACAACACTTTAAGGCTCAAAATAGCACAATATAGAGGGAGAGTGAGAATTCTAGAGAGAGAGGGAGATTTTTTTACTCTGAAAAATCTGAAGCCTCAAATAGGGAAAGGGAGCTCCCCTTATATAAAGCAATGCAAGCACAAGCTTGCTTGACAAGCTAAAAGCTTATATCCATCCCCTTCATACACGTGTATGGAGGATGAGTTCAGTGAGCCACAGCTGGCTCAAAAGATCTGAAAATATCTAAAAAGGAGAAAAAATGGCTGCCAGCCAGTTAAGTGGCCGACCGGCCACTTCAACTAGCTGGCCGACCACTCCAACTAGTTGGCAAGGAGAAAAAACGGCTGGCAACTGCCAAAAGTGGCCAGCAAGGCCCCACTCACCTTCAGCCAAGAGGCACCAAGGTTTAGCCTAAAAACAAGGCCAAAACACAGAGGGTTTAGAGGCTCAAAAACAAGGTTATCGGCCGAGATCTTTAGGCACTCAAAACTAGCACAAACATGTGCAATCATCGAGGGCACAAACGATGACGTCAAAATCTTAAGGTCAGTCAAAAATGGGGTGTCTACACCTATGTAAAGGAGCTGGGAAAATTGATGGCATTGTTCCAAAATTGCTGACTACAACAAGTCAGGCGAGATAACAATAGCCATGCCGATGCCTTGGCCAACCTGGCTAGTGCAATGAAACCAGGAGAGGCAAAGACTATAATGATTGATTACTTATCAGGTCCAAGTGTAGAACCATTGAACACAGAGCATGAAGCAATATGTGTGGAGATGGGACCAAGCTGGATGGATGCAATAATAGTATTCCTTAAAAAGGGGAAACTGCCAGATGATCATAAAGAAGCACACAAGATCAGACTTAAGTCGGCGAGATTCAGTCTGACAGCAGAAGGGCATCTCTACAGAAGATTTTTACTGGACCCCTTTTGAGGTGTGTGCATCCTTCACAAGTTGAAGACTTCTTGTATGAGATACATGAAGGAGTATGTAGAAGCCACACTGGGGGCAGGTCACTTGCTCATAGGGCCATTACTCAGGGATACTGGTGGCCCTATATGCAGAAAGATGCTGAAGCTTATGTCAGAAAGTGTCAGAAGTGTTAGAGGTTTGCACATTTGATACACCAACCAGCAGCATATTTAAACCCAGTATCCAGCCCTTGGCCATTTGCCTAATGGGGCATGGATCTTGTTAGACAGCTGCCTCAGGTAACTGGACAAAAGAGGTTCCTGCTAGTGGCAACAGATTACTTTACCAAATGGGTTGAAGCTGAACCCCTCGTAAAGATTTGAGACATTGATGTAAAAAACTTCATATGGAAGAACATCATCACCAGGTTTGGGATCCCAAGGGCAATAATAGCAGACAATGGTATGCAGTTTGACAGTAAGCTAATCAAGAGCTTCTATTCAAAGTACAAGATCAAGAACTACTATTCCACTCCAAGCTTCCCTCAAAACAATGGACAGGCAGGAGTATCCAACAAAATAATATTGGATGGGATTAAGAAGAGGCTAGAAGCAACAAAGGGAAAATGGGTGGTTGAGTTGCCTAGTGTACTCTGGGCATATCGGACTACGCCGAGAAGATCAATTGGAGAATCCCCATTTGCCATGGCTTATGGCACAGAGGCAGTGATCCCATTAGAGGTTAGCATCCCTGGGGTCAGAGCCCAGGGAGTGGAGAATGGGACTAATGATGCATTTTTAGCCCGAGATCTGGATTTATTAGAAGAAAGAAGGGATAAGGCAGCATTTCAGCTGGGGGCATACCAGCAGCAGCTTGCCAAGGCTTACAACAGAAAGATCAACCCACGAGAATTTCAAGTTGGGGACCTCGTCTTGAGAAAGGTCGTCGACAACAAGAAGGAACCCAGAGAGGGCAAGCTTGGCCCAAACTGGGAGGGACCTTATAGAATCATCTCGATCCTGGGCAATGGGGCATATCGGCTTGAAGACAGTGAAGGCAAAGAATTGCCAAGACCCTGGAATACTTGCAACCTGAAGTTCTTCTATCATTAAGATTTCATTTTGTTTCTTTCTTTAGAATCTTTTGTTATTACCCGAAGTAATTAATAAAATTTTAGCTCGATGTTTTTAAACTTGTGTAAAACGATTAACCAGTCACTTGGCGATGTTTCTGATTAAAACATAGCGAATAACTTAGACTTATTATATGGCAGAGTTGAATTATACTTGCATATAATAGAGTTGAACTAAGTTGGCGATGGTTCTGATTGAAACATGACAAATAACTTAGACTTATTATATGGCAGAGTTGAATTATACTTGCATATAATAGAGTTGAACTAAGTTGGCGATGTTTCTAATTGAAACATGACGAATAACTTAGACTTATTATATGATAGAGTTGAATTATACTTGCATGTCATAGAGTTGAACTAAGTTAACGATGTTTTTGATTGAAACATGACGAATAACTTAGACTTATTATATGGCAGAGTTGAATTATACTTACATATAATAGAGTTGAACTAAGTCGGCGATATTTCTGATTGAAACATGACGAATAACTTAGACTTATTATATGGTACAGTTGAATTATACTTGCATATAATAGAGTTGAACTAAGTTGAATTAACCTAGATTTGCTATATCTGCACAATTAAAACTTTGAATGGCACCAAGTACATATCAGTTAGATTAATAGAGAGAACCAAGGTTGATAACCTCGGCCAATCTCTGTTTGAATCTGATCTCGGCAACAAGATCATAGGTACATGCTTAATGTGAACATAAGCGAAACTTAAGTTCACATTAGGGGGCAGAGAGCTGGAGAATAATGCTTGGGAGTTGGAATTTACAAGATAAAGTTGCTTTAACACTTGTTGAAATTTTAAGAAAAATTTACAAGTTGAAGTTAAGCCGAGGTTATGTTGAAAGAAGATTGGTTTAACACTTGTTGAAATTTTAAGAAAAATTTACAAGTTGAAGTTAAGCCAAAGTTATGTTAAAAGAAGTATCTACGTACTTGCCGAGATCACCATGTTGCTAAGACTTGGAAGATAATGGAAGACAGAAGTCTTGATAAGTGGAAAGGTTTTAAATAAGCACTTGTGAAAATATTTTCACAAATGTTTTCAAGTGTTATGCCAAGGCGGAGATAAACATTTAGAAGATATATCCAACGTACATTATCCCAAGGAGATTGCAAAGTTAAGGTGTACTCTGAAGACATACAGAATTATTCTAAGTATGAAAATCATAAACATACAAGACAGTAAAGAAAAGACAAGTATTTAAACACTTAGTGAAAAAAAGAAGATTTGCATTCAAAAGGAAACAAGGAATTTCGGCTTACAGAGGATTACTTGTTCAGAATACAAAAAAAACACATTGGCCAAATACAAAGTTAACATTGTTCAAAACAAAGAGATTTACAATTGTCCAAAAGAGAGCAAGTACTAAAAGGAGGAAATATTAAAGTTTATGCATTTTCTACAGACTGTCTTGCCTTAGCAATTGGCGTTGTGTCAGTCTCGGCAAACAGCTGGGAAGATTTTTCAGCTTGGACCTCGGCGTTGATTTCACGCAGTGCATCGTCCAGGCTCTTGTTAGAAGTCTCGACCTCGGCCTCAGAGGTGGTCTTTTGAACCTCGTCCTCCTCATCATGAGTCAAGTCTTAAACTTGCTCATTCAGAGTTGGGGACTTGGCCCCAGCAGCTTTGGTCTCCTCGATCTCTTTGGCCTCGGCCTCCTCTTCGGACTCAGCTTCGTCCTCGGATTGGCTTGGAGTGGGTGGGAATGGCAGGACAATGTGGCTATCTTCTCGAAGACGCGAATCCTCGGGGACAGCCAACTCCTTTAAAGCAGCCATCCAACCAAGGGTGAAACCTTTGTTGCATGCCTGCTTCACTTGCTTCTTGTAGTACTCGCGAACGTCGGCTGCCCCCTCGGCGTATGCTTTCTCGTCTGCCGCCTTGATCTCGGCGTCTTTTGTGGCCAAGGAAACAATGAGCTTGGCTTGGGCTTCGGCGGTCTTTACTTCGGCCTCTTTCTTCTCGACTTCAAGGACCTTAGCAACGGCTTCAGCAGCGTCTGCCTTCTCCTCAGCCTCGTCTTGAGCTTTCCTGGCTGCATTAGCCTGATCTATCAAAGTTTCATCTTGGCCTCGGCCTTATTAACGGTCTTCAGCAAGCCAGCAGCCTCCTTGGTCTTGTTGACCAACTCCTTCTTGATGTCAAAAGCCTGCATCGCAAAGGAGTGGGCGTGCTAGATCGCCTAGAAGAAATGGACAGAACAAAAGTTAATAAAACTCTAAGTATAGAAAAACAAAGAGTGAAAAGTACCAAGTGTTAGGGGCTTACTTGTACGGAGTGCTGCAACATCAGAGCGAAGTTTTCATATTCGCTAACCTTGGCATTACGTTCGAGGTCTTTTGGAAGGAGCAAGGCAGTAGAGAGGGTAACACCGACTTTAATGTCAGTCGCGCTATCGCCGACTCTGATTGGCTTGTCCTCAATGGTGATTGGAGGGGCCCTGGGGGCATCTGATTTCAGGGACCTAGAGGTTGTAGCAGACTCTAACCTCGGCTTCTTTGACCGGGTGGATTTAGAAGAAGCAGCCTCTGTGGGCCTCTTTTCGGCGGCGGACGCACTTTTTTCCGTCTCGGCTATCTTTGAGATCGACAAGGTATCCTCAGAATCGATTTGAGTTATCATTTCCTTTGCTTGGGTTTTCTTCAGCCTTCTTGGCTTTGGCTAAGATTGCGATGATGAAGATTATACGGTGACGATGTTGGGGATGTCGGCTAGAAGGTCGTTTGCTACAGCCTTTTTACGACCCATCTCGTCGGCGACTACGGTAACGGTGACCTTAGTACTAAAATGGATCACTAGAAGTGCAGTTGGAGGGTTCGCTAGATCGTATGAGGACACCTTGGCACTTCGGCGTCTTCAACTTCGAGTCTTGCCTGTGGGTGCGAACAATGGGGCTCAACGTCGGCGTTGGCGTTGCGAAGGTGGGATCAGTTGCAGAGCAGAGGTTGATCCACAGGACCAGATATTGATCCTTGGTCAGGCCTTGATGATTCAGCTTGAGGAGTTATTGTTGAAGGAGGAGACTTGCTTTTTCTTGGGACGTCGGGAAGTATGGACTTATAGGTTGGGATGTAGTTGGGATGTAGTTGAGCAGCAGAGGTGCTTTCCACTGGTCAACTGGCAAACCCAACAACTTCTTGAAATCCTTGCCGGGATAGAAGGATTTGCGGAAGTCCTTAGGTGGTTGAGGAAGAATTGCAAAATAAAACAAACAGAGGTTAGAGCACACAAAAACATCAAAGTAAGAAAGACTTGAAAGCAAGTAAAGGTGACACTTGACTCTTATCATCTCCCTCTCTGAAAACTGTTCGGCTTAGAGGATAGAGGTGAAGGTCATCATCTGGTGGGAACTCCCAGTTGCCCGAGATGGTGAAGTAATCGTCTCCAGCACCCTTGTTGGAGTCTGGGAGGTCAGCGACAAGCTTGTATTCGTGGATCTCGGCTTAAGGTAATAGATATAGCCCTTTTCTGACTTCAAGCCACACATGGTGTAACAGTATTGGATGTCGGCAAGGGTAACCCTAGCATTCTCTTTTTTGGCTAAGGCAATTATACCATTGATTACTCGGTAAGGGTTAATGGCAAGCTGCATTGGGTTCAGTTTATAGTAGTAAAGGACTTCTCGAAAAAAGATGTCAAGAGGGAACCTAAGTCCACACTCTATGAAGGCTACCACTGGGAAGGGCATGGAGTCATCTTTGGGTATGATAGAGTCCTCCTCCCCAGCCAACCTAAGATGAACGTCAGCAGGGATGGCAAACTCCTGCCTAAAGTATTCTAACTTAGTTGGGGTGTTTACCCTCCACCTGAACATACCCATGATGTCGGCTAAGTGGGCAGGGTGTTGGATTTCGGAAGGAAGTGGTTTGTTAAGGTTTAAAGGACCCCGGCAAAACCTAAACGTATGCTAGGGCAAGGGTTTTTGAGGATCTAAAGGGAATTTGTTTCAATTTTTCCTAAAGTTTGTGAGTTCTACAACAAATCCCAAAACCTAAGACTGTGCAAACAAGAATTGAAGGTAGAAATCTGGAGAACACAACAAGAAAACAGAAACAAGAGTATGATTCAGAATCAAGAATATTAATGAACTATCAAGAACACTATGACAAAGTGTGTACAAGGGTGCGAGGCCAAGATCAGTGGCAAAAATAAATAAGTATGTGAGCAGTGTGTGTATACTCAGGAAGAAATTGGGCAAAAGCAAAATCATGAGGCAAACATACCCAAATACATGATAGAATTCAACGTACAAAATTATAATCAAGAACATGAACGGGTTGGCAATGGCAGCAAATAATGCAGTGGAGTATTTTAAAGGAAAACACAGATTGAAAAAATGGGAAGTAATGACTTACCAAAAGGAAGTGACGCTGGTGTGAGGTACGTCGGAGTTGAACCTTGGTGATATGAGTAGCAGAACGGTAAATACTTCGTCGGTGGAGGTGAACGGAAGTAGTTGCAGAAAGCTTTGAGAAGGTGACAATGGTGGTTTAGAGAGAGAGAAAGCTTGAAGCACAGAGAGAAATCAGAAAATGTGAAGTGAAAAAACGAAGAGAGAGGGAGTGTTTTTGTCAAAACACAAAAAGGTGACAAATCGCAATTAGTGTGCCTAGGATGACGTGCTTGTCAGACGGCGCACACAAGAGTGATGCGACTTAATGGCACGTGTCAGGTACGGTTCAATGAGGAAGAGATGCGTGGCAAAAACGGTTTAATTACTGTGTGTGACAACTCATATGCATGTAAAAACTCTTGGAGTTCTTGATTTAATGAAGCAAAGGCCTCGGCTATAGGGATGATCTCGGCTAGAGAACTTGAAAAAACTTGGTTCTTGGTTCTAAGGCATTGATGCAAACACGCTGAAGTTTTTGTCATGTCAAAGCCGATGTGTGATAACCTCGGTAATAAAGGGTAGAGCAAGTTTAGCCGACGTGCTATATAGTCAAGTAATAATAGGTTCCATCACCTCAGGATGCCGAGGTAATAGAACCTAGGGGACAGTTGTGGGGACATATTTTATGAATGACAACATGTGGCCAAGGTGGCACCGAAGTGCCACCCAAGGTGCCACGTGTCTTGGTCATGATGCCAAGATGATCTCAGCTAGGCCGAGGTTATCTGTGAAGATGCTGGAATCCGAGATGAACAGATAAGGGACAAGAGTCCTAGAATGGGGGAGGACCTCAGTCTGGATAAAGATAAAGCTCTTAGGGAGTTTATCTCTATCTATTTGAGGGTCCAAGATAAGCATTAAGCCAGAGTCCATTGAAGCTAGGCTTCTATAGGAATCAAGTCAGTGTTAGCTATAAAAGTAAGGCGCCCACGTGGGTCTAAGGTACGCTTTTTATATTTTGGCTTGTGAGTTAAGCACAATTGGTTATCTTTGAGAGATATAGATTACTGACTTGATCGTCAGAGTGCCCCCGGGTGGAAGAACCACCGCCGGAGTCTCATCTTTCTGTTACAGGTCGTTCAGGCATAATCTATTCTGCCAGCGTTCTTCAGCTGAGTACCTGTTTGGCAGTGTGGTTAGAAAACAACACACACATTTATATTGGGTGTTTGGCAAAAAATCAAAGCATCCATTCAAATCACATCTTTATTTTTGTTTTTGTTTTTTTTTTTGGTACATCACCTTATTAAAAATTAATGAAAATAAACAATTTCTAAACAAACACTCAATCGTCTACTATGACTTTTGTCTTGATTTTTCAAATCTCACAAATATTTCAAGACGACCATTAAACCTTTCAATTTGTTTTGAATTAGTAGAGTTGACTTAATTGGCTAAGTTTAAAATGATTAGTCAATCAGGTTGATTCTAAGCTCATCAAAAGGTGTTGGGTTGTGATATTAATATGATAAAGTGTAATTCTAAGAGTTGGATGAATTGGTAAGATAACTGTGTGTGTGATCAAAGATCTTGGGTTTGAAATTTTTATTAACATTCTTATAGTCCTTGACTAAAATTAGGGAGTGAGAGGTGGGTTCCTTGACGTTCTCCCTGAATTAGCTTGTATGGTCGAGTCATAAATAGGCCTGACCTTAAGGGTTTTCGGTCAAAAAAATAATATCTATATATATAAGAAGCACTTAGCTATTTGAGGTTCGTTTTTTATTTTCGATTTTGTTCTTTCATTTTGAATAATTTACTAATAGTGGCCTGTATATTGAGTAAAGGTTTTTTCGTAATTACGCAAGCATTCTTGGTCAATAATGCAACAGGTTTTTTTGTAATTACATAAACATTCTTGGTCAATTATGAAATAGATTTTTTCGTAATCATGCAAACATTCTTAATCAATTATGGGAAATTCTATTTCCACCCACCTGATAAATTCAGGACACACACTTAATGAAAAATTAACTTAATGACAATTATATCCTAATTAAAAATTACTATAATAGACATCTATCAACACTCCTAATATTATATACATAAATTCTCTATACACATCTTTTAGGAACAAAAATATCTCAATATACACCTTTGGAATGAAAACAATTAAACCCTAATTTTTCTATTGTGGTCACTTTGCTTGTTATTCACTCTGTACTCCTATGTTACTTGCAAAAAGCAATACTATTAAAACATCTCTCATATTGTTTTAATCTCTAGGTTTATACTCGATTATTTATATCATTTAATTATTAGTTCAACAATTTTTACTTGATTTTGATATGGAAGAGTTGCAAACCTATGGAAGTTCAAACTCAAGCAATGATGACAGCAAAATCAGTGATGAAAAGGTAAAATCGTGTAGTAATTTTTTTTATTTTTTTTTTTTGCGTTTTTTTAGTTGGAATCTAGAAATCAATTGCCAAACTAACATTAATATTTCGTTACAAAAGTTTTGAATTTTTTTTTATATATTTCAACACTTTAATTATGAGTTTTTAATTTATTTATGTTCTTAAGTGCCGAATATAATTAATTTTTTCAGCTATATAGTGCCGAATTTTTTTATTATTTTCATTTTTTTAGTGCCAAATTTTTTTTATTTATTTCGGCTCTGTAAAATAGAATGAAATTTTTCCCCCCTCCTTAGATGGCATGCACTGAAGAACCTGAGATTCGATCGGATATTATGGTGGATTGTACTAGTCATTTTACAGCTAAATAGATAACTTTTAACATAAAATTCGTAAGTTCATAATTTGTATTAGTTAGTTTGTTTAGTTTGTTCTTATGAAAGTTGTGTGACATTATATATATGTTTTTGACAACAAAAATGAATTACTCACTTGGGTACGTGACATTGGAAGGATAAATGACTTTGTTATTATTATAAGGACGTCGGACTATGGTGACAATCGTAAGAGATCAAAAATTTATCTTGCTTATGAGCGGAATAACAAGTATAAATTGTGTAAAAAGTTGTGAGAGAAAGAGAGACATGAGTGAAGGATATAGCAAATAAGCATCAGTCACTGGCTTCACATGCCTCCTCACGTGGCTCATACGCGCATGATATGCGATATCAATCCTAGTCAAACTCATCTTCATCCTCCTATAATTCTGTAATTTTTTTCATTATATCATCCTTCAATTATTGTTTAAAGATAAATTCAAATTTCTATATCAAAATTACAAAAATCTCTAAATTATTTTTTCAATATAC